TTCTAGTTTTTCAGCCCCCCCCCCTGATAATTATTGCACAGTCCCTTAGATCCTACGTTCTTCGGCATATTCGTTTGAGGTTCTTTGCAGTTCGTGTCTATGTAGACCTATGTATTTGTACAAAACAGAATTCTCTCCAGGTGTCCAGCCAAGATAAGAACAAGCTACCTGTGGGCCCGTGCGCTTCAGTGAAAAAGAAGAATCAAGAAAAATAAAGATTTGTGTTGATGTTCCTTTTATTGTACCGTTGTCGTTTCGAGCCAAAATTACCCTCAAATAAAAAAAATTCCGTCTTCGTCTGCTAATTTGCATTAAGTAAAAATTTTGCCGACTATGCCATGTAAGGATAATCTAAACTGTTAAGGGATGGGCGAGAGGGAGGTTACTTAGCAAAAAAAGCTAGCTCAAAGGACTGGATCGTCTTGTTAAGGCAATTTAAAAAAAACAATGTTTCACAATTTCTTCGTAGGTTTTTGGTTTTATCCTTGTGTTGCGTACGAGATTAAGTTTATATTATTACGGCACCCACTTTTTTTTTCAACTACAAGAGTCTTTTTCACCTTGGAAAATATGTTATGATTAGAAATTGTTTTCTGCAAGATGCTAATTACAATACCGCTCTTTTAACTTAATAAGTTGCTTGCTTGAAGCCAATTAAAACAACGAACGCTTCAATCTTAGAGAATTCCACCATCTGTGTTCCCTCCACAAAAGTTTAAACAACTTGAAATTTGCGAACGATCAGTTCAACGCGAGACGTTCTTACATTCCCTGGATCGTATTGCGCATGCACCCTTGATTACGAAAATTGCCTACAGATGAAGAAATACCCTCGCTGTCTTGATATCAACATGAAGTCATTTCGTCCTGTACTTTTTTTGTGTGTGCTCTTGAAGGTTTGTGTATGTGCCGATGAAAAATTGAGCTTAAAATCAATTCCCGTGTCTCTGAGATAATTTTGAAAATAAAAAAGTATATCTCGTCAGATTCCATCCTCGGAGACGCAGGGGCAAACATATAGTTGGGGGGAGGGAAAGTCTAAACGGGCGGAAAAATATATATGGAACGAAGTAAAGTAAAGAACGGCGAGAAGAGCCCCTGGGGACAATGTCTTACTAGACCAGTTCCAAACGGTCGCCGCCGTTCTGGCTCCTGATTGGTGCCAGAAAACTTGTGTTTTTCTGGCACCAATCAAAAGCCAGAAAGGCGGCGACCGTTTGGAACTGGTCTGGTAAGACATTGTCCCCAGGGGCTCTTCTCGCCGTTCTTCACTTTTCTTCGTGCCACATTTTTCCGCCCGTTTAGACTTTCCCATCCGTTTGGAACTGGTCTGGTAAGACATTGTCCCCAGGGGCTCTTCTCGCCGTTCTTCACTTTTCTTCGTGCCACATTTTTCCGCCCGTTTAGACTTTCCCTCATCCCCACTATCTGCCCCTGGGTCTCCGAGGATGGTCAGATCCTCTTTTGTCTCCCCTCTTCACTGTTACAGTGTCGGTTGCGTTGTAGATTTAGATGCAAGCAAGTAAACTTTAGGTCTTATTTTCGTTACTTCACGACATGAAATATCACCTGCTTCAAAGCTTTTAACTTCCTATTTTTGACGACCCATTGCATTGTCGCTAATACATTTTTCTATTATTACTATTTACAGCTATTTCAAATAACTTTGACGGAAAGCTTCCGCGGTAAGATCGCACCGCCGGGTAACTCCATAAAAATTTCCCAAACTCAGCCATGAAGACTACTCTGTTGTAAAACCACAAATCTGTTGTACTCTGTTGTAAAATCACAAAGAGAAAGGTTTTTGAGGGTTTAGACAACTCTGTGGCACTGAAAACGTAACCTTGAACGGTTATATTAAGCTAAATAACAAAAGATTTACAGCTACCCCAGCCATATGACCTTCACTATCTGATCTTGCCTTGTAGCCGTATGTTTACACTATAGATGATTTTCACTGTGACGTCATCAAATTGTAAAGTCAAAATAGCGAGGTTTTACGAATTCTTATTTACAATAGGTACTTTGTACAAGTTTCCATTTCCGTAGCATGTTTCATTTCGAAAATACAGGAATTTGAACTTCCGAGTTTTCACAGTGCGCACCAAAATAGGAATGCTGTCTCGTTGAAAAATAGTCTCTCCTCTTAATTTTCAGCAGTATAACCACTTCAAGTATTAGAAGATATGTTTATGCGTACGTATGCTAGTTCTCGAGTGAAAAGAAAGAGCTTTTATAGAAAAAGTGAACTCCAGTTGTTTTTGTTGATTTCCGGTGGCCATATTGGTTGCCCGCGTGCAGACGTCTCCTATTTCCTTTGTTGTGTTCCGCGTGGAACAAAGGAAATAGGAGACATCTGCACGCGGGCAACCATATTGGTGCACCAAAACGGTGCACCAATATAGCGTCTCCATACAAAGCTCTACAAAGATGCGTGAAACGTTTAGGCAAATAACTCAGAAATTGTGGCCCATAAAGACCTGAGACTTAGATAAATTGTTTATATACTAGTCTTTTATGACATTTCATTTTCTTGGCTTCTTTCACTGGACAGTTTCCAATTTAATTTTTTGCTGCGTGACAGTGACAACGACCGGGTAGCTTTTTGATACGCCGGCACCACAGGTAGCCCAAGCTATAAACCTTTATATAGAGAGAAAACCGTTTACATTAAAACCCATAAAACGGCCATAAATCTGCCCGTGGACCACACAGGAGAGACGTAACACACATTTTAAGTAAGGTAAGCTGTTTTTTATTGAAATCCTTTCATTTTTGTAGGTTACAGAAACGGTAGGTTTTTTTCCCATACAAATCTTTATATTTTGAATGTTACGCAACAATGCCGATGCTCGCCGATGCTCGCCGATGCTCATCTTTCGAGCTTGGGCTACCTGTGCCGGCACGAAATCATTTCGAATAGGGCTTTTGTTCACTCATAAGAACGACGATTTTGGTAAAACGCGACGTCTGTAACAAATTAAAGCGAAGCTTCGCCGCGCCGATCTTGAAGTGGATCGCCACACTTTGGATAGATTTCGGTGCCACTTCAAGTTTGCGCAGTACAAACAGGTGTTTATGCTGCACCGGTAGCTTTTCCATGTCGACATGACCATCCGGTATATGTGGTGTACACACAGCCTTAAAATCCGACAACATTGATTAATTGAAGTAGCTGTTTATCGCTGCTATTAATCGATGAAAAGGGGATCTTCCTTGAAAACCCGTAAGCCGTAATCTAAACATCCTGCATGCGTAAGATATAGTCACAAACTGCCAACAACTGGCCTCTTTATACTGTTTTTGTCTTTATACTCTTTTAACTGTTTTGACTGTGTTTAAAAACACACACAAAAAAAATGGAAAAATTATTTAATGTGATTCATAAATTAAATGAAAAATAATAATCATGATAGTAACAATGAGAATGATATTAATAGTTCGTATTTTAACAAGTCAGATAAAGTTCCCCTCGTTTATCTACATAATTATGAAAATGTCATTGGCCAAAGCGTGAGGTAAAAATTAGCAGACCGCTTCTTAGTGGTACTTATGGTGTGGGCTAAGACGAAGTGAAACAAAGCAAGCAATCCTGAGCGGTCAAGAGAGGCTGATCTCGAGTTAAAGAGTCAGAAGATTTCTAGGTGGAAAAATCTGCCCGGAGTAGGCGCTAATGAGCAAAATGATCATGGCTTTTAGGGATCGCCTTGGAAAGCGGTTCCGACTCGACGGAAATTGCTAATTGTGGCTTTGCTGCATCAGTATATAAACAAATTACTCTTGTAAACGACAACTGTCTCTTCGAAATTTCGGCGACGTCCATGGCCACGCCAGTTTTAAATAGCCTTTGGCAACAAAAATAACTTCCTCTTTAAGAACATATGGGTTCCCATCAAATATTGCCCCTTGGGATAAATACATTTGCTTGAAGTAATAGAATTAATAATGTCAACTACTAAAAGTTTACCGGCATAATAAGGGAAAATACTAGTTAGAACATCTAAAAGGAGACTGAAAAAAACTATTATGTTTCACAATGTCTGCTGTTTAGCTTCTTATTTTGTTGTTCCTCATGTATATTAAAATTTCTTCCAAACACTAGTTTACTTCTACGCTGAATTTTATGAGTAATATCAACATTCAGTTGATGACAGCTAAACACAACGTTAAGTAAACACGTCCAAACGAGTACATTACATTTATATTATGGTAATGGTTTAGACTAAGTTCTAAATGTTATAGTTGTCTTTTACGAAGCCTTTTAGATCCATCATGAAAAAAAATATATTTACTATGTTGCCCTGGCCTATTGTTGTCTTAGCATTTCAGAAGCCTCTTGAGACCTTGACGATAATTACTGCTAAAAATGAGGCAAATCAAAGGGTTTATAGCACAGTTTGCGTCGAAAATGAGGTGTGCGAGGTCAGTAAATAACCCGAAACCGCAGCTGGACCGAATGAAACTATCCACAGGTTGACGTACCATGATTAAACGTGTAGTGGTGATGGGTACAGAGCAAAAGAAAAATGCTAGCATGATAGCAATGGCCATCCTTAACACATTTCTGTTTTACCTCTCGCGCTGCTTTGTGGTGTTGGTCAACTGCTCACCTGGAGGCGCCTGTAGTTTGAGCTTGATGAGGATGATGGAGTACAGAATGACCAACAGGACTGCAGGGATAAAACTAAACGTTGTGAACACTACTGATGTAGTGATTCTCAATGGGCCAGGATTCTTCGAAGGTTCCATACCAATCAAAGTAACAAGAAGTAACAAGTAACAAGTAACAAGAAGTCCCCTGCGTGCCTTCATCAATTTTTGCGACGATCATATATGGCGCAAAAAAAGCCAAGGCAACAACCCAAGTAGCGAGAATGAAGAAGGGAAACAATTTGCGACTAATGAATGGAGAACGAAGTGGGAATACCACGGCGACATAGCGATCAAGTGCTATCAGAACTAGGCTTTGACTCGACACACCGAAGGAGACGTGGGTTAAGTAGAGAGCAAGTTTGCACAAGGCTTGGCCAAGAAGACCACCAGTAGGCCAAGAGCCGCCAGAACTGATCTCTGCAAGACGCAGAGGAGTCTTGAAAAATGGAAACAGCATGTCTGATATGGCCATGTTTGCGATCAAATAATTTATGGGTTTCCTTAAGGTTGGCGTTTTATAAACAGTTAATCCGATGATCGAATTTCCGAAAAGGGAAAAGCCAAGGATCAGACTATAACCAATGGTTTGCCCAATTTTCAACGCCGATGCGTTTATCAGACTGCTACATACCCAAAGGTTCGATCCATTCGCTGTTGTGTTCATCTTTACTAGTCTCAACTCGCTTGCCTCTTCTAGTAAGGTTTGGCTTCATTGCAGAACAACTGCTCAATACTGCGGCCTATATTCAATCTGGAAGGTAACTTAAGGCAGGTAATTTTAACACCCTACAAATACACTGATGTTGTAAAGTGAAAAACTCAAACGTGCGTGCCCTGTATATCAAATAATAAAATAACAAAAACAATTAAGTAATCGTAGAAAATAAAATCCATCTATGATGATAATAATAGTAATAATAAAAATAATAATAGATAATGGATAAAGGTTGAGTGTCTTATGGTAGCTCGACCCAGTATTTTTGTAGGTACACCTTCCATCATTATAACACATGTATTACACAAAGACTAAATTTTATTATCATATTATTTTTTGGGCGATTGGAATGAATATGACGTGACAATGACGTTCACAACAGCTTCTGAAGGCTGTCAACAAACCTGCATCGGGAAGTTACCAAGTTGAAAAAGACCCCGCTTGTGTATTGAAATAATTATATCTAATTGACCAAAGACGGAAGTCGAGATAGTTGGTTTCAGCTATCATAATTCATCTACACACTGAACTCTTTTGCAGTAGATAAACGTGATTTCATTTCAATAGCTTTGATCCATTCGCTTGGGGCAACAAAGAAAAGAGCTTTTCTTTGGCCCAACCTTTACCAATCTTCCTAGTTGCAACAGCTGCTAACATCTGCCTTTATACGTAATTATACACTTAGCTAAACTTTGTAAGTGCCGTGGAAGTCGTTAAGATGGTGCCATTAAATAAACAAGTTTTCCATGATATCAGCCGAAGAGAGAATAGTTTAAGAGAGCGAATCCCCCATACATGACCCTCTTCCTAATGAAAATTACTTGCACGGGGAGCCGCAAGCAGTAAAATTTCTGTCCCGTAATTTAATCAGTTAAATCATCAAAGTTGACAGGTCTTTCTGATGATCAAAGCGACAGTTCGGTTTACCATTTACACCTTCAGTGCGAAGAATGTCACGGGAACATTAACACCTTCAGGATAATTGCTTACCATAACAGTGGTAGGTCGCGCGCGTCTGGTCGGTTTCGAAGAACGTGATCGTGACTGTTGTTTTCATTCAATGACTGTGCGCGTTGATATGCCAACGTTTAAAACAGACT